AGAGACAATTTAGACATGTAATGTGATCATTACATAGTTTTAACTTACTCTGATGCTGCCTTTCTAATGTTCATGGTGCAAATGCAGAATTTATAAGTTTTTTTTCCTGTACTCTAATAACAACATTTTATATTCCATGTATATTGAAATGACTCTTCCTAAAATGAAGACTACTCAAATGGTTTTGGTGGTCAAGGAGAATAAATTACAGTGTCACGTCTAAAAACAAAACCAAAGTTTCTCTTTATTCAGTCTCTTTTTTTCTCTCCCATTTCAAATATTTTTCTTGCTAGACATTACATGTATACAAACAACCTATCTACTATGGTGACCTTTTCGTTTAATGACCTTCTTGCCTCTACTGATGTTGACCTCTCATCCATTTACCCTGTGATTGTTTATTCAGTCTTGTTGTGAATAATTGCTGCATAAATTCCAAAGTCTTTATAATAAATATCCTAGGCTCTTTACCACCTCCCATGTTTCTTAGTTCTTCCTTTGGTACTCCTGTTCTAGTTTAGCTTAGATTTCATGATGTACCATTTTATTCTTTCATAGCACATCTTTCCTTTTGTTCAGTCTTCCTTTTAAAGCACCTTTTACACATGCACTCATGAGTAAAATAGTCATCTTCTCTTGTTTCACTTGAGATGCAAAGTCACTAACCATAAAGGGAGACCTCACTAATGACTGAGCAATTTAGTTAGTTTCCATAGCCTTCCACTTTACCTCTTTTTAAGATCTTTCACATGTTTCTTCTTTGTAACCTCTGATAACCCTTCCCTACAGACCTCATACACAGCTAATGACTTTGTATTACTGATTGTCTTGGTTACTTTTCTCTCTCATTGTTGAGACAAAATACTTGACGCCCAAAGTTAGAGAAGGGAAGGTTTATTTCTTACAGGTTGGAGGTTTTACTCTATACTCAGTTGCCTCCAAAGCAAAATGATATGGCTGAGGGGCAGTGGCTCATGGCCTCCTCTGCAGCAAAGCATTAACCTGCCCAAAAAAAGAGAAAGGGCTCACCTTCTTCCCACTCTTACACTGTATGCTGACTCCACTCCTGGGCAGGTGTAGCACTCATACCACCAATCCGAGTGCTAGACAGGAAACCAATCACAAATGCTAGATTTGGTGGAGTCCATGATTGCATGAGGCTGGAGGGGGTGCATATCTGAACATAAGCCATAACACTGGTACTTTTGAAGTAATCAGAAGAGAACTTTAACCTACTAGTCTACTGGATCCTCCATATGTGTTTGCTATTTTTTTCCTTGATAACTATCTTTTCATTTGGGTCCCGTCTTCTTGTGCGCCAAGTCCCACTCTTTTTATTTTTTTATTTATTTTTTTATTTTTATTATTTTTATTTTTTTTAGTCCCACTCTTTTTAATTACTCAGAGGTAGGATTCTGGACAGTTCCTCCTCTCTTCTGCGTCATCATTTCTTCTATTGCATTGTCCCACAAACATATAAAGAACTGTTGAAATAACATAGTGTTTCCTGAGAGAAAATAATGTCTTATATTCCTATCTCTGTGTGCTGTCAATCTATTATTTTTTGGACCATTTCAGTTGACTTTCCTTGTGTTACCTCGGTCCCATCCTACAGAAATTACTCTTGTGAAGGTCAACAGGAATGTACATTTTATCACATCTGATGGTTATTGGCATTCTTTTTTTTAACCTTTCGGATTAACATAGTTGATCACTCTTATGAAACAGCTTTTTTACTTGTCTGCTAGGATACCACTTTGTTTCTTCTACTTCAGTGGTGGAGATACTTGGTGCATCGCCTTTACTCATTGCTCTTCAACTTAAATCTTAAAGGCAGAATTCTTGACAAGTGGTCTTCACTTAATTTTCTTTCATTAAATTTCATCTGTATACCCTAATTTATACCTCCAGTATCTACTTCTCTCCTTTCTTCAGGTTCATATGCCCAACTGCCAACTCAGTAGCACCTTACTATTAAAAGTACCAAATTTACTTACCTAAAACTAAATCCTTTCCCTGTATTCCTTTCTCAGTCTGTCAATGTGAAGTTGCATTTTTCTAGTTGTTTAGCACAAAAGGCTTAAAGATATCCTCAACTTTCATTTTTTTTTCATGTTTAATATTCACAATGAGTCAACTTTGAGAATGTACCAAGAAACCTACCGCTTCTTACCACCCACCTTGTCTAGGCCTGTATCAGCTCTGATCAATCGTAGTAGCTTCCCAGTTGGTTCTCCTTTTCACATTCCTGTGAATGCAGCCAGAGGGATCATTTAATTATAATACAAATCAGATCATAGCACATACCTCTGCTCAAAACCTGCAGTTTGCTTCACGTCTTACTCAGAATAAAATCCAGTGTTTTATTCATCAAACCTCATCAAAGGCCATAGGAGATTACATTGTATAGTGTCTTATCTCTTGATTGCCTTTTGGACTTCTCACATGACCCTTCCTTTTCCATAGTATTCCAGCCACTATGGCATCTTTGTTTGTCAGATGTACCTGGGGTGTGCTCACCTTAGCTTTTGTTTACTATCCTTTGCCTGAAATATTCTTCCTTCTGTTCTTCTCATGGCTTATTTCTTTCTTTTAGTTTTCTGCTTTTATGTATAGGACTTCCTTACCTTTACCCATCTGAAATAATACTTCTCCTATCCTTAATCAAGTTACCATGTTAAACATAGCCTCGTTGACCTGGTATACTGTTTTCTTTTTCTCACTTTGAAAAGAGCCCCTGACCCCTATTTTGCTTATTGTTGTAGTCTAGGTGCCTTAAAGCACTTTGCAAATGCAGGCAGTTCTACTTATTGTCAATAATCTTTTTCCTGAAAAACAATGCACTTTGCATTCAGCTAGTAGGGAACTATTTTCCATTGTCTTATATGGGGAAAAGTTATATTTCTACCAACTTAAAACACTCATTATTTTTCTTAACATGTTGGGTAATGCTTAGCATGCTGCACCTTGATACTGTACAACTAATATTACTAATTGGCAATTTGAGATACAGTAATAATAGCTCTTCCATTGTAATTATTGTTCCTAATTATTTTGAGTCTTTCTCCAGTTTCCTTTAATAGTTCTTCAACTTTATGTGCCAGTTTCCCAAAACTAATGTAACAATTATGTATAGCAAACATGTACTACTAAAAAATACATAGAAATAATAATTCCTCAAATTTGGGGGAACTGATTGTATACATACTAGCCAAAAATGAAAAGTAATTAATGAAAGGCTCTGTAGAAACTTGTTCTGGGTAAGTTACTAAAAATAGAAAATAACCCACTCTTAAGTATGGGGCTAGCCCCTCTCTTACATCTAGTGAGAGTGGTGATTTGCTTATACTTAGTGAATTTTTCCAAACGTCTATAATATTTATGTATGACTTTATATCAGTTGTTGAAAATGTAACTTGAATTTTACATATGCACTGTTTTGTTTAAAATGTCAGGTTGAGATTTAGAGACAGACATATAACTTTCCTTATATAAACATGATGTAAAACATTGTTTGTTGAGAAATATCCCTGGTGTGTAATGATTGTACACCAAAAATGAAGAGACATTCTCCAGCGGAGTACGTTCTATGGGATACACCTTTGTTTATTGAAAAAGTGCATGCACACATTGTGTGCTTACTAAATGCATGCATATTTTTGTTATAAAGATTTTATTAGGCTAAACATATCAATATATGCCTGTAATCCTACCCAGCAAGCTGAGGCAGAAGTATTACAAATTCAAGACTAATCAGGACAACTTAACTAGCAAGACCCTGTCTCAAAATAAAACTATTAAAAAGGGCTGAAGATGTAGCCCAATGATAGAATGCTTGCCTAGTATGTACAGGGTCCTGGACTCAATCCCCATTAATGTGAATAAAGAATAAAACATTAACAAGAAGCAAAAAAGGTTCATGAAACGTATTTCTGGCATAATTAAGAAAAATTCCCAACCATGTGTCATGCATACCTGTGATCCTAGCACTCAGGACGCTGAGACAGGAGGATCACCATGAATTTGAGGTAAGCCTGGTCTACATAGTGAGTTTAAGGCCAGCTTGCACTGCAAAATGTGACCTTGTCTTGAAAAACAAAACAAAACCCCCAGAAAAGAAACAAAAACAACAACAAAATTCCCATCAGTCTCGTCTCCAAAGTTTTTGTGTATCTATCTTTAACATTCCCTTTGATACTTTGAAATTTTACTGTTTTAGAAAATAATAAAACCATGGAACTTATGGAATAAAATTAAGATCGCTAGCACAAAAAATACAATTGGTACTGAGCAGAAATACATTTTTATCACTACAAAGTGTGAGGGTGTGAATTTATCACCAGAATATTTAGGTTTTTGAAGCGTGCTCCTCAGAGACACCTTCCTTGCTTCCTTGGCAAATGATACTTTGCACCACTAATAATGAGAAAGAAATATGTGTTAGCATACATATATCATATGTATAAATTTGAAGCTTTTTGTTCATCTCTGGGTGGATATTTAAGTTTTTCTACGTTTTGGTTATTGGGAACACACTGCTGTGTACATGAGGTACACATTTATTCTAGTCCCTACTTTCAGTTCTTTGGAGTATATAGGACAGAACATACTATAATTTGAATTTTTTGAAGAGCCACCATACTATTCTTCATAGCAACTCAGGTTTACATTTCTACTGGAAATGTACAGAGGCTTCAGTTTCTCCACATTCCTATTTGCTGTTTTTTGTTGTTTGCCTGTTTAGCGTGTTAGGTTTTTTCTTTTTATTAAAGCCATCCTGATGACATGAAGTGGTATCTTATTGTGCTTTGATTTGCATTTCAAATGACTAGTAATGTAGAACATGTTTTTGTTGGCTTTTTACATTTTGGAGAAATGTCTGTTCAAGTCTTTTGCCCATTTTTTAACCAGGTTGTTTATTTGATTTTTGAACATTAAATATTTTATGTAATAGCGAACATACAAAAATACTTAAAACATGTCTTCTTTCTTACTATTAGTGGTGTAAAGTATCACTTGCTAGCTCGTACTACCCTAACCTTGGAAAGTGCTGAGGATAGCTTCAAGACTCATAATCTGTATATTAACGGAAATGGTAAGTACATTATATATTTTACTGATGACATACATTATATCAATATATATGTGGTCATAACAGTAATTTTCTGATTTCAGTATGTTCCCTTTAAGTAGATATTGGCTTAGATAATGTAGACCTGAGTGATTCTCTGGGTTCCTTGAAATATATTTATCCTTTATCTTCAAAAAAGGAAAGTCTTTTCCTTTCTCTGTGCTGAGATTTGTTTACAAAGCTAACTTACTGAGATAGAGAGGTTTTGGGTATTTTTGAGTCCATCTTTGACTTGAAATTGACTTCACTCTTCTACCTAGAAATTAAAGAGCGATATCATTTTTAAATGTGAAATCTAGAAAGCCAATCCTTCTGTTGAGAGGAGGCAAAGTATATAAGAGAAGGTAGGACTAAATTTATTTTAACTCTTTTTCTCCCTGAATTATCATAAGTGCAGTTTTCCCAAAAGAATGTATAACAGAGTGGGAAAGGAGATTGAGTTATTGAGGCTTGTAAAACTTCACATGAAGACTTTGCCATATTAGTTTATCAGTGATGAGAAAAGTAATGTTGATAAAGCAGTTTAGAAATATGATTTAAAGGATACATTCTTACTTATTTTCTAAAGAGAAATACATAAAAATGTGTAGTAAATGTACTGTCTTACGATTTCTGTTGTAAAGATTGGTAACTAAGTGCTAGTAGAATTAGTGATTTTACAACGTTTTTAAAGTTCATAATAAAAAATCACATTAAAAATAGAGGAAAATTTATAAAATATAATTATACAGCTTAACAGTTATGAGGTGAATGTCTGCATAACAACCTCCCTGTCAAGAAATGGAACATTGCCAATGCCACTTTCCTTTAATTATTTGCCAGCTTTTATGGTATTTACTTTTCTTTATGGTTTTTGCCTCTTGTGCGTCCTCTAAATAATACAATTTAGTTTGGCTTGAACTTTATGTACATGGAATCATAGTATACCTCCCTAGTGATCTGATTTTTGTTCATCATTCACTATGTATTTTATTGCTTATAGCATTTCGTTGTATGATTATATCACTATTTCTCTTATACTGATTCAGTTATTTTGATAGTTGCAGGATTGTTCAGCTTTCCTATTTTTGGAGTCAGATTCATTAATTTAAATTTTCATAGATATGTTTCTACTTTATGTAATTTTGAAGTCTGTAAGCCTTAATTTGAAGGTTTATAAGTTCATTGTATCTTTGTATCTATTGAATTTCTGCAGTATCTGTAGCACTGTCTCTTCTGTATTACTGCAAGAGGCGTGATAATATCTGCTATAATTATAAAGTTTTCTACTCTTTTTACATCTGTTTTCACTATATGAGTCTTTGTTATTGATACAAATTTTTTTAAAGCATTGTCTCCCAATATAGCTCAGAATAGCCTTGAACTCATTATGTAGCCCAGGCTGACCTTGTACTTGGCAGCAATCCTCCTGCCTCAGTCTCCCAATTGCTGGAATTGCAGGTGTGTGCCACCCTACCTGGCTTATGTACACAGTTTTTAAATCATATGTTTTTGTCTGTTCTTTAACTCAAACCATCTTTTTTGTATTATAGATCTACTTCTTCAAACAACGTTAGACTGGCTTTTAATTTTTGTAGAATTTGAAGATTATGGCATTTTTACTGGAGCTTTTAGTCCATCTGTATGCAAGATCATATGTCTATAGGGTCTTGTTTATATCTACCATGATTACTTGTGTTATAGTTGTCATGTTTACCTATATACTGTGGTTATCTTTTTTATGGAATTGTTTTTTTTCTTTTTAAGGATTCATTACTTTTATCATGTCACTTTTTTCCTGTCCAAAAGTTATCCATTCTTTTTAGCATTTTTTGAAATTGTCTCTAATAATTCATTGCATTCATCATACTAAACTGTTAAAATTCCCCTCAACTCTTTAATTTTCCTTTTTTTAGACAGCAGGAAGACTGTAGAACTGTTAAACTCTACTTCTCTAATCTATAGTTACTTGGTGTATAATACTACTTACTTCTACATAGTAATTTGTACATTTAATATTTATTTAGATAATAACATACATTTAATATTTAAGTTTACCTACATGTTTCTGTATACTAGTTTCTTCTACCTTGCATTTAACATCATTTTCCTTCTTCAAATATCATTAGATTATACTTTGAATAAGATCTTTTAGTATCAAACATCTTTGATACTTTTTTAACCTGAAAATGGTTTTATTTTGCTCTATTTTTTACAGTGTAGAGGAATTTTACTTTTGAGTATTGTCTTACTTTTCTTGTGGCTGAGATAAAATACCTAACACCAAAAGTTAAAGGAGGAAAGGTTTATTTGGCTCACTGTAGAGGTTTAAGTCCATAATCGGCTGACTACAAGGAAGGGTGGCACATACCAGAAGGGCAACTGTTCATGGCAGCCAAAGACAGCAAAAGCAATAAGAGAGGGAGAGACACACCTCTTTCATTCACTTATAGTATATGTAGGCTACCCGCCCTAGGGCAAGTATAGCACTCTTAATTCCAGCATTGGACCATGAATCAATCACAAACTCTAGATTCAGCCCCCTCTGAAAAAGTCCATTCCCCATAACCACATGAGGCTTTGTGGAACATCCAGACACAAACTGTAACAAGTATTAAATATATAGTTCCAATATTTTCTTAGTGGTTGTTCAGAATCTTTTGTCAGTGGGTCACCTCTGTGAAAGTAATCTTTTATTTTTCTGTTTGCCTTTGATTTTCTGAAGTTTCATTGTGATATAATGAAGTGTAATATTTGTTTATTCATGTGCTTGAGACTAGTTGAAGTTCTTTAAATTGGTAATTGATAATGTTTTATCAGTTTGGACAAAAATCTCACATCTATTCTGAGAGCCCTTCCTCCATTCTCTTGTCTCTAGTTCCTTTTTTTCCCCTTTTCCTCACTATCCTCTATGCTTCTGTCTTGGTTATTTTTCTCTTGCTGCTGAGACAAAATACCTGACACTCAAAATGAAAGAAGGAAACATTTATTTATCATATCGTTTTTTGGAGGTTTCAGTCCATACTCGGCTGGTTCTAAGTCAGGGTCGCATAACTGAGGGCCAACAGTTCATCACAGCTGCAAAGCAACAAGAGGGAAAAGGGCAAAAGGGGAGAACACACCTCATTCCTTCCCTTGTATTGTATGCTGGTTACCTGCCTCTGGGTAGTGCAGCACTCATACCGCCAATCCCAGTGCTAGACAATGAACCAATTGCAAATGCTAGGCTCAGTCACTTTGGAAAGGCCCACACTTTATGAACTACTTCCATCTCTTTGTCTTTTTTGGTATTTCTCTGGATGTTTTTATGACTTGTCTTTTTCCATTTTGCTTATTCTTTCTACAGCTTTATCTGATCTGCTGCTAAATCCATCCACCAGAGTTTTTGTTTCTATTTGACTTTTATGTCTGCTATGTTATTTTCTGTACCATCTGTACATTAATGTTTCATATTTTATTTAAGTGGTGTAATGGTTTCATTGTAAGTTTCTAATAATTTCAACATTAAAATTTTTCTAGTCTTTTTTTTTTTTTTTGACTAGTTCTGGCACATGAGATCACGTTTCCTTCTTATATATCTGGTTACCTTTGTGTGCTTGTCAATATAATTGAAATTTACAAGTAGAACCAGATTGGTGTTTCGAAAGTGCACCTGAAGGGTCTGTTGATCTATTCCCACTCTATCCAGTGATCCAGCCTGAGTTTCTCTGGCTGCTATGAACCCTCAGGCAGTAGGAATCTGGTTTAATTCTAGTTTGGTTTAATTCTAGTTCAACCACTAGTTGCTGATTATTCTTTGGGGGTAGGAGCACATTATAAGGAGAATCTCCAGTTAAGCTGCTTACACTGTGCAAACCTGGAATTTGATTTCTGCTGCTGATTCTGTGAGATCATTAAGTCTTAAAATCAAATTTTCTTTGATTGGTAAATATACTGATTAAAAATACAATTTCTGTGCTCACTTTACTTTCTGGTTCTCTTTTGTCTTTCAGTTTGTCTTGGTAACTCCTTATAGTCTAATAAACAAAAATTATAACTTATTTTATTTGGCAGTTTTAGTAGTTTGCAGTGGGAAGATTGATCTGAATGCTCTAACCTTCCATTATGCAGAACCTAAAGTCTATAACAGTTTGCATTATCAATTTTACCTAACAAGACTTTTTCATTACCTTATTTGGGTCATTTCTCTGGATATACTACTATATGCCAAGTGCTTATACTGTGTCAGAAATTGCCTTAAACACTTATAAAGCAATTTTCATTTATTCTGTTATACCGCAAGATGTAAATATATGGAGGCACTATAATGAAGTGATAAGTAAGAAAACGTACTGTGAAGCAACCAGTCACGGATTCATATTCTAGTTCTCCCTGCTAGCTGCTCTGTGACTTTGTAAGGTTTTCATTTTATTATCATTTGCATTTTATAAATGGTAAAGTACATTTTAGAGGCGGGAAGGATGCTAGGTCATATAGTCAGTGAGCGGCTGAGGTCAGCTGCAAACACAGTCAAGGAAGGCTGTGTTTCTCCTGCCAAGCTCTATTATAGGGACAGTCACTGTAAAGGTACCCAAAGACCAGGTACTGTGATATGTAAAGATAGTGGAACTGATAACAGACCCTGTTCTTTCAATCAGGTCACTGAAAGTAGGAATAATATTCATAAAGTATTGGTTTTGGAAGACATAACCTCGGTTGTCATCAGTATACTATAAGATAGACTAGATTCTTCAAGAAAGTATTGGTGGCCAAGTAAATAGGAAACTATATAGTGAAACTGTCCAGAGAAACAGTTAGTGTGTATGAAAGACTGAAAAGAACTGTACTGAAAACAATAAAACTCAAAAAGCCTGTTGACTTTGGAACATGCAGATTCCACAGAACAAATGTTAAGAAACACTAGGCTATTGACCTATTTTAATGTAATAGTTATATTCTTGAAAGTATATATAAATTAAACTCATAAATTGATTACATTTTGAAAT